CTACTAGTGTGTCCTCCAGCAGGTGCCCAATCCCTGTCCCTGCTCTGTCCCCCTCTGCTGCTGCTTTTCACTGTTGCTCCTCTTTGTCCAGTGGATAGCCACTGATGATAAAACTAATCAACTCCATTTGCTGCATCTTACAGGTGCTGAGAGTGTACATTGCACTGAACATGTGCCACATGCAGTATACACGAAATAAAAATGTAGTACGGGAAAGAGGAAGACATTTTTTCGGTTTGCATGTCTCTTCTGCCAAAAAACCCCAAACAATCGCCTATATCCTACCAGGTTTTTATTTTCAGACCTCAGATCCACTGTAACTCAATTGTTATTATTTGAGATACCATTTATTCATATAATGCATTGGGGTCATGTGGTGAGCCACTGAGCAAATGGTGGTGGGGAGTGTGCCAGCCATGGTGAGGCTGTTTGGACAATGTCTGTACTATAGAGTGTATAGACAATGACCCTGATTTACTAAAGGGTTAGATCATGTTTACTTTGGAAGGAAGACCCAAATTACCTGCACGGAGAATTTGAAAAACTGGATCCATGATTGATAACTCAGCACAACTTCACCTCATTCACGAAGTTACATGAAAATCCACTTGGCTTAGTAAAAAAAAAAAAAAAGGTGAAATTGTGCTGACTTCAATTATCCAATCGTGGCCAAGCAAAATTCCTGTTTTGTTTTTTTTTTAACTATCCTTGCATATAATCGGGTATTCTTTGCAAAGCCCATTTTTGCTTAGTTTCCCCTCATTCACTAATATATGTGAACATTTACTTTACTCTGCTACTTTACTAAAACTACCCAAAGTTTTGCTTTAGGGCCTATTCATACCAGAACACTGCGCGCCACTGCAGTTGTTGCTCGTTGATGTGATTTGCTGTGTGTTAAACAGCCCATTCAGAATGAATAGGCTGATAAGCACAGCAATGCACACGGAAATAGGGCAGGATGCATTTTTGTCACAGTCCAATGCACGGGAAACTGTGGGGAGAAGTAATCAAAACTGGAGTAGTTTGGTTAAACTTGGTTAAACTTTGTCCCAGTTTTGATAAATTACCTTCTGTGTGCTTTTGCCGAGCTGCATCACAGTGCACATGCGATGTGGAGTTGCCTTAGGGTGCCATTCACAATGAATGGAACCCTAATGCACCAAGGCATGTAACGTGTTGCCACACATTATCACAACACTGGGCCCTTAGATATACATGCATCAAATACACATCTTGTAGTATTGCAGATGCTGCAACTCAAGTCTTGCCGCAGACAGTACATGGAATATAGAGCTTTTTCTAATGTCCTCTGTCAGGACGGCACAGGACTGTGAAGGCCTATTTTTGTATGGAGCCTGGGCATGGATCTGGAAGGGGCATGGTCATCAAGAATTGACATCACTTGTCACACAGGGATGGTTTTTGTGACATGCAAACTAGGTAAGACTGCTGTCAAGACAGAGAAGATTTCAGCAGCAAGTTAAAGACTTTTTAACCAACAACAGAACTCCAGGCAGATATAAAAGACTCAAATCAATGCAGCTCTGTATTAATTAATACATAATTAGATGCATTTTTTAAAATGCAAGCAGTATAAGTACCTGAATTTGACTTATCAGCATCTTGCAGTCCACTGTGCAGCAGTTCTCAGACCAGTAGCAAGAGCACAAAAGCCAACCAGTTGTGCTGTAGCACAAGGCATGCTGACAGGAAAAAAATAGCAGAGTGACAGAAAGATGGTCTCTTCATTGTGCTGCTGCTCCTTTCACTGTCCAATCACAGGTTGAGGGTTGGGAGGAGACCTGTAAATGTTACTGAACTTTAGCAGAGAAAAATCAGGTCACTTGCTGTGTGGCAGAGCGTTGTATCTTTCAAAACTGGATCGACAGAAATTTTTTAAAAAAAACCTTTTGGATGGTAAAACATCTCTCAAATATTTATTCTATCTGGTTTTCTAAATATTTGCCAGGAGCTCAGTTTAGCTGTCGAGAATCTTATTTGATGTGCAGTTTGAATTGTTATAAATCAGACTTGAATATGTATGTGAATGCAATTGGCAACATTGTGGAATTCACAGAACTTCTTAAATTTGTAGAACAAAAAAAAAGCTACACGATAATGTTTTATCGGCCCATAGGTATACGATACAATAGCAAAGGGAGCCATCTTGATTGCCTCTCTATCATGAAAATGCTGATTCCTCTTACTCTTTCTTATATTTGATGTGTAATTGTACCACTGTTTCAGTATTCACAAAGGTCTGCTTCTTTTAGGTCTCATTTGTCTAAAATGGGAACTGTCTGTTTTTCCTTCATCGTCTTTATTGCTTTGGTTGCTGTAGACAAGAATAGTTTTTACTCTGGACAATTTTCATAAGTGAGGTTCACTATGTTTGTATTTAGAGGAAGAAAAGACTCCAATCTTTCGTGGAGGTTGGGAAAGCAACAGAACTAAAATGTGTTATTAAAGTAAAGCTCCAGTATGTAGCAATATAAATTGTATTTCCATATAACACACTGCATAAAACACACTTCTTTACATTATTTTTATGGATGGAGTCACAAAGTGGGAGTGGGAGCAGTCATGGGGAGCCAGCACATCACGGTAGTAATGCCCACAGCAAGTGATTGACATTTTTGCAAACATTATGCCTATTAAAGCTATTGCACACAGCATTACCTAAATGTGAACAGGGCAGTGGACTAGATGCTGTATATTACTTGTATTTGCAGTCCAGATCACACTGCACAGCATAAGACACTATTCTCTGCTTCCCTTTCATACATTATTATCTAATACATTAAAAGACGCAGCAGGTCAGTTGTAGTTACTGAGAAACAAAACAGCATTCATTCATACATACAACATACACTGTCAGCTGCACAGAAAAGAGACCGGCTCTACAGCTTACCCTTTCTCAGCCAAAAAGAACTGGCTCTGTGGAAGCTGTGTGCACCACATAGGGCACTTCAGCTGTGACTGATACCCCCCGTAGCTGGGGGACATGTCCATGACATCCAGTAAGTCTTGTGGACGGCTTGGTCTCATACAGGCAGAATCTGCTTGCTGCAATGGTTTCCATTGAAAAATTAGAGGTGGGAAAGGGAAGAAGGCAGCACAAGTTTTCCAAGCACCTAAAGCAGAAGCGGATGGGGAAAAAATGGTTGAAGCCGGAGTTGCACTTTAATATACAAAAACCGTGAATGGTGTTAAATTGTCAGGTTTCCTTAGAGTTGGTAGTTTTGGCCTTTTTCATGTAGACACGGTAAAACAAAACAAAAAATAACTATTGATGAGGTGAAACTTGTTTCTGATCAAATGCGTTCATTTTCTAGTGCCGACTGCAGGTTCTTGATTGTCCCTGTGCTTTTCTCTTACTTCTGATGTAAAGGTATAGCTTGGGGTTTTGTAGGTGTGTATACTAATTCCTATTAATATTAGCATTTTCTTCATATAAGGTATTTTATGTGTAATCCCAACTAAATTTGCATGAGTTTTGTGGTTCGCATTTTGTGCAAATACTTCTAACAACTTTGAGGTGACTGATGAAATCAGATATGATATGATATTAAAATAGCAATTTATTAGTGTTATGGTTGTCAAATGTTTCAACATTTTAATTTGGAATGATTGGTTTACTTATGCAGCTTTAAATTTGGAATAGGACCGTCTATAAACAGCCTTTTTCAATGCCTAAGCAAAGTTCAGGTTATTTAGGGGTATCCCCAGGAGACAATAATAAGTCCTGCCAACATCAGCAGTGCTCATTATCACACATGGAGATTTTCCAACTTTTAGAAAATAAATGCCATTGACTTGGCTTATGCTTTCCTCTTCTCAGTGTAGACATCGACCGGAAGGGTTAACCAGGCATGTACTGCTTTAGTCCATCAGGCGAGTTGTTACAGAGGACAGGCAGATATCTTAGGAGATACCTGTCTGTCTATGGCTGACTCAACACTTTGTGAATGTCTAATTCAAATATGTCCTTGTGTGTAAGTGTTTACAATATTTTATCTACATAAGTGGGTTGGCATGGGTTTAGAAATACTCGATGTATGAACACAATATTATTGTGGGGCTAGCAGTTTGTAGCCTAAAGGCAATCTAGGTAAGATGGCCTTTGGTACCACAGCATCAGGTGAATATGTACTGGCCAATATGAAAAAGAACTTATGATCTAGCAAGGGTCTTAAATAGGACCTCCTGCCCACAGTAATTAATAGAAATCTTTATTTTATGCATGATTGACATAAAAGCCAAACTCTGGTTGCTGCAAGCAATGTATTTATTTTAAGAAAAAGTTATAAGGATTAATACTGTAGAATGCTATAATGGTTCATAATGTCATCCATCTGCAGTACTCCTTGTCCAAAAAGCTGCAGTCAAGTATCCTACATAATGGTTAATCGGGTCAAGACGCCTTAATTGGCTATGTGGAATGACTAGAAATGCTACATTCACTGAATTGGTTCAGCTCCTTGAATTTCCCATTGTTAACCTTTTTGCCAGGTGCATCTTTGCTCCTTACGTTAGATAATGGCTTGAGTTTTCCGCAAGCAAACTATGATCAACTGCCAATGTGGCTTTGGTAGGGAAATTCTATGCATCATTATGTGTGTTCATATTGATGTAGGGGGGAAAAATTGCATTTATTATATTTTGATCCCTCCGTGCTTTACAAAAGAATGTTAAATGATTCACATATGTTTCTTCCTCTGTACTCTATCATTATAGTTAGGCGATTCTTCTAGAAAATGTCTAATGTTCAATATATTATATAAATAGTCATTAATGAACAGTGGCCAAGGACAGGGTGGCAGACCTTTGGAGAGGAGAAAACATGTTTGTATCGGACTACAATGTACTTACATTTACTAATAACTAATTTAAAGCTTTAAATGGTTTTCAGTGTGTGGTAGGTAAAGAAAAGTGCTTGCTTTTTTTGGTTGTCCAATAATCCTAAACCAATACTGTTTTCTGTTTTCTCTGTGCAGGCTGAAACTGCAGCCAATCGGATCTGCAAAGTCCTAGCCGTCAATCAGGAGAATGAGCAGCTTATGGAAGACTATGAGAAGCTTGCAAGTGATGTACGTGTTGCAACAATAGGCATAAAAGAAAGGTTAACCTTTAGTGTTAAAGGGATTAGCTTAATGCAGTAGTAAAATAAAACCCTATTATGTAAATACAGTATATTACTCCAGAAATGTGCCATGTTGGAACATTAGTCGTGTCTTGTATTATTGTTTGCTTGACTTTCTACTCTGTCAGTTGTTAGAATGGATCCGACGGACAATCCCATGGTTGGAGAACCGCTCCCCTGAAAACACCATGCAGGCCATGCAGCAGAAGCTGGAGGATTTCAGAGATTATAGGCGTCAACATAAACCTCCAAAAGTCCAAGAGAAGTGTCAGCTAGAGATCAACTTCAACACCCTTCAGACTAAACTGAGACTCAGCAACCGGCCAGCATTCATGCCATCTGAAGGGAAAATGGTCTCGGTGAGCATGGGTATTTTGGGGAATGTTGCTACTTAAACACCCACCGCTCTCCTACTAACCAAAAACCTGGTGCTAATGATTGAGCAGCAGAAAAGTTCATAGATTGATCTCTTGTGCCCAGATATGATAGTGAACAGTATAAAACAACATATGACTAGAGCAGCATTTCTCAACATTGTTCAATCACGGCACCATTTAAAAGTATGCAAAATCACAAGGCACTCCGGTCTAAAAATCTATGCCAGATCCTTATCCTAGATAGAGGTCTGAGAGAGTCCCCTTGTTTCATATCAGAGTCCCCACCCTTCACATCAACAGCTTCCAGTCCCCCCTTCACATCAACAGCTTCCAGTCCCCCCTTCACATCAACAGCTTCCAGTCCCCCCTTCACATCAACAGCTTCCAGTCCCCCCTTCACATCAGAGTCCTGCCTTGTAATCTTTACCACAGTGTGGCTTCGGCAGCATGGCAGAGGGCAGGAGGTGAAGCATGTCTAGACAGTGGCAGACTTCTGTCTTCTGAATGCTGGGTAAGGTCCTGGATGCAGCCCACCCTGGATTAGCGCATATGTTTCCGTGGTACTGGAGGCTAGCTTGCCGGAAAATGGAAATGCATGACACATGAAGATTTGAAGGCACTTTTTTGTGGGCTATTGCCACTGTCATCACTTCAGGGTTGTTTTTCCTTGTTTATATAATCTATGTTTAGATCAGTACTACTGTGAATATATCTCTCCAATGGCCAGCAAGGATGTGGTTTATAGGCACCACGAATGTATCCATCTCACTGCCCAAATGCCTCTTTTACCATCAGAGGCAAAATACCCATCATGTTGTCATAGGGAATCATTTTGCATTCATTGCTTTTAGTGCCCTCCTTACAGCATACCTTTGTATATGTGTATTTATTGGGGTAGCTTGTGTTAACGGACCTGATGAGGTTAGATGGTTATGTAATTTGCTTTAAACAAGTAGAATATCTGTATATTAGGGCAAGCAAAATCTAATTTGGCTGATTGGTTGATTCATGGCTACCTCGGTTCTCCAAGAAAAACAAATAACCAGGATGACAGTGGCAAGTAGCTCTGGTCACAAAACCATAAGGGAAAGAGAGGTATTCTGCTTCTTTCCCAAAGTTTTTGTTTTGTTTAGCCCATTGTGATTGCTGTGTAGCTACATGTCCTTTTTTCTTTACCCAGGATATAAACAATGCATGGGGAGGTTTGGAACAAGCAGAGAAGGGCTATGAGGAGTGGCTGCTGAATGAGATCCGGAGGTTGGAAAGACTAGACCACTTGGCTGAAAAGTTTCGTCAGAAAGCTTCTATTCATGAAGCCTGGACTGATGGTAACATGATCACACGCTTACTGTTCACTGTAGAGCTTGCTTGTCACTAACTGTTTGAAGTCAGTAAAACTGTCAGTGTTCTGGATTAATTCATGTGCAAGGAGAAGAAAGCAGAGCACTGGGTAGAAATATAAGATGTTCTGATAACGCCATAATACACACAAATGTACTAGAATGGACGGCTTTCATTACTTTCTGCACAGCTGTTGAGCTGGGGTTTTTTCTTTCCCCTTTTCTGTTATAGCTGACTGTAATGCATTCTGTTCTATGTATCCCTATTGCTACATTAAGAATAATGTTCATAATCATTACTGTATCTTGGCATTGCTTAGCAGACAAATTCCACCAAAACTGATGCCTTCCAGCCTTGGGTGGATGATGCCAGGTTAAATCATCTCCTGGCATTTAATACTTTTCAGGCACATTTCTTAAACTGGAACCTATTTTAATAAGAGCAAAAATCAAAATGCCTCCTAGAGTAAGAATTCTCATCATCCTGGAGTGCTGCTTTCAATGTCTCAGGGGTATCTTTGGGGAGATCTGTTTTGGATCTGTCACATCTTGTGTGCCCATTATAAAGCAGTACAATGTATGCAGAAAATGAGGCAGTAGTATCACCCATCTAGTGGTCTCAGTGGTCAATGGAAATGTAATAATGAAATATATACTGAAATATATTAGTTACACAGAAATATAAATGCCAGGATATGAAATACTCACCAGTGTCCTCCCTAAACATAACCACTTTGGATGAATTGAACTTTGAAATCATTATTTAACCAGTTGACATCCGCGGTGTTAAACCCCCTTCCCATCCAGGCCATTTTTCAGTATTCAGCGCTGCGGTACTTTGACATTTATTCCGTCATGCAGCGCTGTACTGAAATGAATTTTATACCCTTTTTTGGGGACAGATAGAGCTTTCTTTTGGTGGTATTTATTCACCACTGGGGGTTTTATTTTTTTACTATATTAAGGAAAAATTACCGAAATTTAAGGCCAAGTTTAACTTTAACACGTTTCATGTTACACCTATATTCAGGGTGCCGTCTTGTTTCTGAACTGCTGGCTCCAACTCTCAACTCTGCTTCCCTGAACGTCCTGTCCAGTACAAGATTACAAGGGACAGAACATAATCCAGCAGCTGTCCATATACTAGCTTGGAGAAGGGAGGAATTAGGAAAGGGGAGCAGAGAGCAGGGTAGTGGCTTGCCTTGCTGTGTTTGTGGAGATACAGCTAATTAAGACACAAGGGTGGCTCCATAAGACCCTGCAAGGGCAAGGAGCCACCCTAAAACAGGATATAGGGCCAGTGCTCAGGGGACTAGCTGATTCTGCAGAAACCAGAACATGTCAACATAAAGAAGCATCATCCATTGTAAGAAATGTAATCAGCATTTGTAATACTTTAAAAACCTTTTTGACTTTAATATCACTTAAAATGTTTTTTTGCTATCCTTTATTAAGTGCATGTGTTGTTTTCACAAAATACGCATACATTTTAGGAATCTGTACAAAAGGACAAAAAAAAAAGTCCCACAACATTAAGAAAAGCTCTTTCCTGGTTGTACATCTGTAGATGCAGATGTCTTTTGAAGGAAAGATTTTCCATATAATGTATGAAAAATAAAAATCTAATAAACCCGTCCCGCTTCACCATCAACAGGAAAAGAAAACATGCTGCAGAAGAAAGACTATGAAACGGCAAGCCTGTCGGAGATCAAGGCTTTGCTGAAGAAACACGAGGCCTTTGAAAGTGATTTGGCTGCTCATCAGGACCGGGTAGAACAAATTGCAGCCATTGCCCAGGAACTTAAGTAAGTCTGACTGAGGGTTCATTTCCTTCAAACTTGTCCTCTGCAAAGTGAACTAGAAAGATAAAAAAACATGAGCTGCCCCATACATCTTTTAGCAGGAGCAGAATTTGTGCCAAAAGCACTTTGTCTTACCCAATACTGGTGCAAATATAGAGTAATGCTTTACAGTTGGGCCACTGGAAAGTATGTAGAAGACTTTAGGTTTTGGGGAGATTATCACCATGGCACACAGATGAACTTAATAGGGGAATTGTGTTACATTATTAAACATAGACTAATTCACAAATTCCCTTGAGTTATCACGAGTAGCACTACACCCATGTAAAACATCTCTGAACAGTTTTATTGTATATGTGTATCTCTTGTTGATAACAATTTTGAGTGGACTAACCCTATAAATAAATAAATAAACTGTGTGCAGATTTGTGTAAATATGACTAAAGTTGGCCCCTAAAGGGGGGTGCATGAGACAAGAGTCTAATGTGTCCACTAGCAAAACAGCCATGATGGTGTGAAGGGGTTTGTCGCCAGTACTGGGAGGGGGGAGGGGGGGTGCAATAACTATAGTCCTGGCTTGGGTATCATTGAGCCTCAGTGCACTCCTGCATCTAAAGGTGCCCGCAGACATTAGAATACGATCAAACATCCAGTTCAGGAGAACATCTAATGGACATCTATATATGCATATAGCCCAGCTAGTCCAGATGTTATCACTTTTGCTCTAATAAACTGGCCCTAAAGGTTACTGCAATACTTCTTTCTTTTTCTTCATATGCTTAACACAAATGGTTGCGCAGTTCAACTGTTTGTGCTTACGGATGTCACAACATTTTCAGAAGCATGAATACAGTTGGATTATGTGTGAGCTCCACCGATACTATTTGGTTAACTTAAAGCTGAACCAATGGCACTCCCGGCCC